TAAAGCAATTTAATAAAACTTGGCAACCCCTTCTGCAATATATTGATAACTCTATTTGAAGAGGATTGGATTTGAGCCTCGGTGTGTTAAGGGAAGGGAGGGAAAAAGAGGGGGTGGGCTATGGGAATGTTTTTGTTGATGTCATTTCTGTTTTGTTTTTCGTATTGTCTTATATTTTATGTTCACATATGGAAAAACGAGGACAAATTTGTATTGCTGATGTTTCATTGTCTAAGTCTGATCCCTCAATAAAATTGTTGATAACAGAAAAACCAAGTGATCTGTTGCTAAGATGATCTCTTAGCAACAGATTAACAACAAATGTTGTTCAAAAAACAATAGATTTCTTCTGCTCTTTTGAAACACTACTTATCTCGTACTAAACAATTCTGCAGTTTGTGAATTTTGCAGAAAAGTGAAAATACTATTTTTTTTGTCATTGGTTTAAATATATTATAAAACAGACGTACAGCTCAAAAGAAAAAAATGTGATTTATACTTCGTGGCAGTTCGTCACCAGAAAAAACACTCATTTCTTAACACCAAATTAATAACAAATAATATTATTGTTTATAAATTATAAGCTCTTTTGAAGTACTGCTTATCTGCTTAGACACAACAAATTTAGAGTTGGTAAATTTTGCAAAAGTAAAAATCAGATGTTTACTTTGCGGCACTTGTTTACCAGAAGATGAGCTCGTCTCTTAGCAACAGATTAACAAGAAATATTGTTTGTTGTTTTTTGAACAACAATATTGTTGATGTTCAAAAAACAATAGATTTCCTCTGCTCTTTTGAAATACTACTTATCTTTTACTACCCAACAATTCTGCAGTTGGTGAATATTGCAGAAAAGTGAAAATGCTTTTTTTTGTCATTGGTGTAAATATATTATAAAACAGACGTTCAGCTCAAAAGGAAAAAAATGTGATTTATACTTCGTGGCATTTCGTCACCAGAAAAAACACTCATTTCTTAACAAATTAATAAATAATATTGTTGTTTATAAATTATAATCTCTTTTGAAATACTGCTTATCTGGTTAGACAAAACAAATTTGCAGTTGGTAAATTTAGCAAAAATAAAAATCAGATGTTTACTTCATGGCACATGGTTACCAGAAAAAACCAAGTGATCTGTTGCTAAAATGATCTCTTAGCAACAGATTAACAACAAATATTGTTGTTATTCAAAAAACAATAGATTTCCTCTGCTCTTTTGAAATACTACTTATCTTGTAATACTTAACAATTCTGCAGTTTGTGAATTTTGGAGAAAAGTGAAAATGTTTTTTTTTTTTTTTTTTCCATTGGTGGTAAATATATTATAAAACAGACATTCAGCTCAAAAGAAAAAAAATGTGATTAATACTTCG